AGTGGAGGGGAGTGCCTTCTTGGGAAAGCTCTGTAGGCTCTTCCAATAAAAAGAAGTGTCCCACAGTTGTGGTTTAGAGGTTTCTTTGAAACCTCCAACTTAAGCATTTCCTAAATTGTCATCCTGGGACTGGTTATCATTGGATCTGTTTGAAAGTAAAAGTGCATTCTGGTAAATCAATATTTCCACTCCCTACAGCTGTTTCCTAAATGTGTCTCCCTAATGATCAGCATGTCTTAATTCTTTTCAAGTTCATCTTGGGGAGTTTCATCAATCATGTGGAAAAAATAAATAAATTTTAAAATACCCAAAACAGTTTAAAAAAAACACCAACAACCCTCAGATACACACACATACACATAAAAATAATATGAAAAGTTTGCAGGTCTGGCTCTAGTTTTTAGGTGCTAACAGAATGCTGCTAATGTAGCAGGGGTCAGTACTGGGACCACTGCTGTTCAACATCTTTATTGGAGACATGGGCTGTGGGACTGAGTGAATCCTCAGCAGGTTTGCTGACCATACCAAGCTGTGTGGTGGGGTTGATGCCACCCAGAGGGACCTTGACAGGCTGGAGAGGTGGGCCCACCCCAACCTCATGAAGTTCAACAAGGCCAAGTGCAAGGTCCTGGACCTGGGTCAGCACAACCCCAGGCACAAGTACAGGCTGGGGGAAGAATGGCTGGAGAGCAGCCCTGAGGACTTGGGGTGGGAGGACACGAGAAGCTCGACATGAGCCCCCAGTGAGAGCTGCAGCCCAGAGGTACAATTGTGTCCTGGGCTGCAGCAAAAGAAGTGTGGCCAGCAGGGTGAGGGAGGGGATCCTGCCCCTCTGCCCTGCTGTGAGACCCCACCTGGAGTGCTGTGTCCAGCTCTGGAGCCCTCAGCACAGGAAAGACATGGAGCTGTTGGAGAGGGTCCAGAGAAGGGCCACAAAGATGATCAAAGGGCTAGAGCAGCTCTGCTCTGGAGACAGGCTGAGAGTTGGGGCTGTTAGGCCTGGGGAAGAGAAGGCTCTAGGGAGACCTTAGAGCACCTTCCAGGAAAGCTGGGGAGGGGCTTTTCACCAGGAAGGGCAGTGATAGGACAAGGGATAATGGTTTTAAAACTAAAAGGAGAGATTTATGTTAGACTTCAGGAAGAAATGCGTCATCATGAGGGTAGTGAGGCACTGGAACAGGTTGCCCAGGGGCATTTTGGCTGCCCCATCCCTGGAGGTGTTGAAGGGCAGGTTGGATGAGGCTTGTGCAGCCTGGTCTGGTGGGAGGTGTCCCTGCTCATAGCAGGGAGGTTGGAGCCTCATGATCTTTAAGATCCCTTCCAATCTTCACCATTCTATGATCTTATAATGTGTCAACAGGATGCCAGTTGACTATAGGAATACTAGAAGTTTTCTCAGTTGACAGGAATTACTGGATTTTGTTGCCTGTTATTCAGACTTTTTTTTTCCTTTCTTTTTCTAACTGTGTCTTTCAGGAAGTCCTGGAAGATCGTTTGGAGAGGATCAATAGGGATCTGGGGTCAATCCGCATGACTCTGAAAAGGTTCCACGTTCTACGAACCTCTGCAAATATCTGACTGTGCTCTCTGGGATACAGAGCTGCTTCTTTATTTGGTGGTTTTTGGTTTGTTTTTGGGGTGTTTTGTTTTTTTGTTTTTGCACTAATATGTAATTATGCACTCAGTAAATGCAAATTGGTTTGTATTTTTATAAACCCTCAATAGTAGTTTTACAGCCATGTTACCCTTTACAAACAGCAATATTTTGTACTTCAAACAACCACCTATATTTTAAGCATATTTTTATTACACTTGAGAAATGAATGTTTATCCTGTATTGTAATATTTTTAGAAATACTAATTATTTTTAAATAGTGATGTTGAATTTATAAGAATAAGAAACTAAAAGGCAGCTTGTTTTCAGAAAATGAAGGTGTTCTCCTTTTGCACTTGGTTTTCCTCACCATTTTATAAATATTTATGGTCTGATGTAAATATTAGGGACATTTTGAACTTTAATACAAAGAGCAACATGAATGATGTTGTGTTAAAAAGCTAACTGCTGTTCTCTGGTAAATCCTTTGAATTGAAACCTGATGAGATGGATATTTTTCCTTGGGACAAAACTGGGAGCAATACCTGCATTCTGGGTGCACGTTGGAGTGTGTGTGGTGCTGCTTTGCTTGCTGCTGGTTGTGGTGGGAAAAGACAGGATGCAGGAGACTGACAGCAGCCACCCTGGCTCCCAGAGAGCAGCTCCACTCCAGGACTGTGACTGTTCAATGAAGTTACTGGTTTTTAACATTCCAGCCTGTGCTGGGGACTGTGCCAGTGTCCTCCTTGCCTGCATTGCCAAACCAAATCCAAGCTGTTTTTGGGAACATGCTTGCATTTTCCTTGGTGACAAAACCAAAAATGCGTATTTGCTAGCTGACATATTGCTGAATTACTGTCCAACATTGATATTTGAGTTTGTATTTTAATATTAAATAAATGTTTAATTAGATTCTTTCCTCCTGCCCATGAACAATAAGAGGTTCTGGGATATTACATCAGCGATAATGTGGGTTTTAATCACATTGTGTGTTTCAGATTCTGTCCTTGTCCAAGATGTTTAGCCACCAATGATGTGATTATAAGGCCAGAATAGCTGTCATAAAGGAAGCTTGTGAAGGTCTGATTCTAAAATTACAGTGCAGTGTTTTAAGATACTTGATGAAGAACCGTCCTACCCATGCAGTCTTTTTGAAATACAGTATTTTTGTGGAGCCACTTCTGACCTGCTAGTTTTTGTAATACAAGATCACAGCTGGGGAGAAGTCAAGGATGTTAGTTACTAATTTCCCCCTTAACTCTTAAAATGTAGACATTCCATCTAAATTCTTGCAGATAACTTGCTCAAATACACTTGGAGGTGCATGAATAGATGTACAATGTTGATGGTATTCCATATTCCTATTTTGACTCAGAAGGGGTTGAGGGAGGAAAAAAAGAATCTTGACTTTCTTGTGCAGCTCTACTCTTGAACTGGAGAATTTTCCCCACCATTTAAAGTTAGTAACAGGTACAATTTAAAAGTGCATTTTAGAAGTAGCATTCAGCCAGCAGGGCTTTCCCAAAGAATCAGTCCATCACAGGGCAGTTTCATGAGTCCACTAATGACTTTGTTTTCTTTCATCAGCACTACAGCAAAACCAAACAGAATTTTCCTGACAGGCATTAGAAGCAAGCAGGTAAATCAGTTCAGCTATTTCCCTGCCTTTCCTTTATCTCCACTCCATTCTTTCCCGTGCTATTCACATTCATGTACTCTTTTTTTTATTACATCCAGCAAACTGAAATGTGAGTCAGAATTTATTTTTTAATCGAAAGCTCCTCCATCTGTTGGAGCTCTTTAGACTATTTCTGTTCTATTATAACACTGAAGGGGGGGGGCGAAGAGAAGTGTTTTCTTGGTGAACTTCTAGGACAACCTTTTTAAATAGAGGTCTGGCTTGAGGTGACCTGTTCTGAGTATGGTGCCTTCCACCTGATTCTTCAGAGGGCAGAGGATCTGCAGTTCCAGATGAGATCAGCGGGAGGCCTGAACGCTCAGTGCTCAAACCAGACCCGCAGCAGCAGAAAGTGGGGCACAGGGAGGGCCTGTTTACTGGGGAAAACGTGGCTGCACTCACTGTGCACTTTGCTGGACTTTACTGTCTTTTCTTTTAATCATTCTCAAAATTCTTCCCTGTAACACAGGCAAATTACCTTGTTAGGCAACTGGGGGACGAGTAAGGACTTTCAGAGAACTGGAAGCTTAAGCTTCCTCTAAGGAGGACTTTAATCATCTTCCTCTTGCCTTCTTCCACCTGTCACCTCACCTAGGTTGGCATTGATCACCTTTTCAGCTCTCCTGGGTTTTGTGGGGAGCCCCAGGCTTTGTTCTGTCAGACTGCCCTTGCACAAGGCTCCTGTGCGTGGTTTTCTCTATGACAATAAACATTACAGCTCTGAGATTGAACCTTTGGGAAATAATTTTTCTATTTGTCCACATCTCTAAAAAGCAAATAAATAAATAAAAAAAGAAGTCTGTTGGTACCATGGAGAGCTTCGGGAACGCTCTGCCTCCTGGGAACTGTCTCCAGACCGACCTGTAACGCAGCCTGGACCGAAGTTCACAGAACGAAGGGGTTTATCCTGCAGGCCGGGCTGGCGCTGGGGGGTCTGCACGGGTAACCCCTGGGAAGAGCAGGAAGGGGAAGCGGCTCTTGGTGAGGTTGCTGGGTTTTTTTTCTGAAGTGATTGCTAAAGCTTTGGTGATTTTTTTATTTTTAATTTATTCCCCCTCTCTCCCCACTTCGCGCGGAGAGCAAAGGTACAGAAGTAACCGGTGCTGCCTCAGGGCAGGCTCAGGGACTGGGGCTTCACTCACCGCCTCGGCAAGCGTTAAGTTATCCTTGCGGGGTGCGGGGGATGCGGGGTGCG